TGGTCGTATCTTGAAAAATTCGTAAGGAGGGGTGTTCGTAACTAGAGGTACCACTGTATCTAAAATTCTATTGGTTTATATACAGATGAATTTATTGCCATCAAAGATTATAAACAGACCAGAATGAAATAAAATATCAATTGGACACCTACAGTATAAAAGCTCTCAAAAAGTAAATAAAAGCAATGTTAAATGATATTATAAATCCAGCAACAGTTGTTTGTAGATGTTAATAGCTACCATACAAAACTTGGCAATATTGTGTGTGACAGAAGTTACCTTAACTGAAACATAACTCTATAAAATTCATCAGAGTGACCTGAAGCATGGAATAGCAAGAGGAAAAAAAGAATTTTGGGGGCAATTATTGTAGAGCATCACATGAAGAAGGCTTTCAAGAGTACCAGAGTCACAGAAACAGGTACAGGCTTGTATAAGGACTTCATTAAAGTTACCCTCTCAAACTGCTGAACCCTACTGAAATACTAAACCTGGCTCTAAAGAAACATACTTAGTGGGATGGTGAAATAATAACAATCAGCTAGTTGCCATCTGCCATGTTGTGTTTGTTTCCTAAAAGAGTCTAAACTCAGGCTAATCTCATTTTGATATTCAGTATCTAGAAGCCTTCAGACTGAGTGAATTCTGAATGACGTAAAAAATTACTGAAAGTCCACATGATAAAAGTTTTCACATCAATGCCTGGAACAAGACTGAAACTTGTCAGTCCAAATAAGAGGAATCTGACCTGTTCTTTTTTGGGGGTGGGGGGTGGGGGTGGAGAAGATTATTATTGTTTTATAGTTTTGTAAGCCAGTTGGTTGACTTGTGTGATTGAAGAGGCATAAAAGCTCTTGCAAGCAAGCTAGCTAGCTAGCTAACCTAGGAGGCCTCTAGTCTATTTTCAGACTGTGGCGCCACCCTTTTAGAATTCTCTTTCCACAAAGAAGCTGGTCTTCACCTGTCTCCCAGAATTACATGCAGCCTCCAAATTCCCTTTAAATGAAGTGAGGGTGCTATGATTACTGAAAATCATACAGATTTTCAAACTGTAATCAAAGTGTAAGCAGTATACGGCTTGAAACTGTTCGTTTACTTACTTATCAGATGTATATCCCTTCTTTATTTGTACAACTCAAGGAAGCATACATAATGTTCCCTCCTCCTATTTTTCCATAACAACAACCCTGTGAACTGGGTTGGCTGACAGACATGGGCTGGCTCCAAGTCACTCAGCTGGCATCTGTGCCTAAGGGAGGATTAAAACTCATAGTCTGTGGATTCTAGTCCCAGCACCTTCACTATTGTGTCAGATACTCAAAACATTTTTCCCAAAAGAAGATCAAGGAGGGGGGAAAAAAAAGAATTATCCCTTCCCCCCATCAGAAAAAAAAAAAATTCTCAGCTCAACTCATATGTCTATGGCCATCCTGTATCATCACTTTGTCCAATGCAGCCCACAAAAATATTAACTGAGGCCCTAAACCACCAAAAGGCTGCTCAGCTCTCCTTTACATTCATGGCAAAAACAATTTTAATTTTCCCTGTTTATAATTAAAAATATCACTGATATTTTAAATTTCTCCTAGATTATTTCAACACAGAATAAAATGGCTATTTTTAAATTAAAGCTGGCATAAGCAAATATATAAATTGCTAGTAATACAAGCCAAATGTTAATGTAGCCATACAATTTTGCTAAAAAGACCCATTAATCTAGTAATTCCGACAATGCATACTCACCAACAGAAATTTGCCTGAATGATTTCCCATTCCTGCTTAAATATTTTACCAGATATAAAACAATGTTCTATGTGTTCTGAAGGTCTGAAGGAATGACTGGTCTACCGAATATACAGATAAATTCAAATAAGTCACACTAGTTAAACATCTGATCTCAATGTATTATTCCTGAGGAATACATACTGGACAGAGCCCACAAGGTATCCGAATCAACCCAGTGGGTTGTATGACTGGACTGATGGCTCTGTAGAGTTTCATATGTCCATCCACACTCCCTGCTGATGCTTCCTTTGCAGCAATAATGGTCATTTCTACTTTTCCATCATATATTAAGGTATTTAGAATGGTTTCTATATCCTCCATTGACAATTCCACCTAAAAAATTTGAAAAGTTCAAGTAAGAATTCTCTAGCAAAAGAAGGAGCACACTGACGCTTGAAAAGCAGGCTATTGTTAATGCTTACTATAATATAATTAATGCTTAACTGAACACAACTGTTTTTTAAAAAAATATCCAACTGGAACTTAAATCAGCATGAAATAATTAACCCATTAGTTTAGTTACCAAGAAATGTTGGAAAGACAATTGCATTCCAATTACATAGACTATTCAAAATTATAATAAAGAGGAGTAAAATTGCCACAAATAGGCTGAATATCCATTTTAAAAAAGTAAACATAATTCACTCAAATGCACAGCTTTAGCCTATTCTAGCAAAACAGAAATAAAAAGTGCTTTAAATCAACTAGATCATAATACTCATCTGTTGTATCAGAGCTCTATCTCTAGTTCAGAATTACATTCCCATGATATGACCATCATAACAACACCATCCAACACTATTGTAAAATACTGTCCTATGCCCATACTTTTGTGCTATCAGGTAGAATCTTATTTTTCTTCAAAAATGAAATCTGTTTTATATTCAATTACTATTAAAAGTAATTGCTAATCCCAATAGCAATTGGGATTAGCAATAGAGCATTTCTTTGATGAACATTCTGAAGTTATGCATTTTTATTTAATAGTCTTACTTGAATCCAAGCTTCTATTGCTTTCAAGAAAAAAATACTTCCTTTTCTTTCTTTGTTTTTAAATACATTTTTGTGGATAAAATCTAAGTATTCAAGATAGGCTCTAATTTTTAAAATAATACTAAAATGGATTTAATAATCCAACTGATTATTTTTAAAAATGGCTCATGAAAACCACTGGCAAAAAAATTACCATCATTCAGATATCTTTTAGAATCCCGAATAGGTTAGGACCAATACCAGCACCTTAAAATTAAGCCCCCATAAGGTGACAAATACATTAGTGCAGTTCAACTAAACCTGGAATTCCAAATGATCTACAACTACAATGAAAAAGAAAATGTCTATTATTTTGCAAAACACAACATTGTTCACTGAGCACAAAATGAAAAAATAATACAATGGTCTTACCTTACTGATACCTAACTCACTGATATATTTCCACACTTCATGAGAAGATGCAAATGAGCTGTTTCTTTGTATCATAGGATTCTGCTTGCTTTCTCGAGCTGCTTCAGCCTATAAGATAATACCAATGGAAACAAGATGTAGTAGAGAAGCAGCCTGTATCAGTGGAGAAGAATATATTTTTAGCCGATGTAGTAAGACATTTGCAGGTAAGCTATTCAGGGAGTATTTAAAAAAAATATTCCTTAACACCAAAAGAATCAACACACTTAACTTCTGTATGGCTAGCTTTTGCTGCAAAATTCCACACCTTTGACTATGCAGTATAAAACTTATCACATAGAAAAGTTCCTTTAAAAAAAAATACTATAGACTTTTAAGAACTGGATTAAAAAAATTTTTTTTCATTCATTGTCTGAAGTCAGAATGATGCCTAACAATAATTTAATTACCACAATATCTGGTGGGAGATAAAATTGGCCAAATGTTTTTTCTTCAGGAAAGTGCTTGCAATTTTCTTGAGATTGGTTATCTCATGATTTGATTTTACCCAATAATGAAGACTTAGCTAATAAAGTAGAAATGACACAAACATTGGAATAAAACCACATGAAATGCTGAAATTCTCAGTGCTATCAAAAGCTAAAGATATGTATAGATAAACACATCTGGAAAGCAAAATGTTAGAAATTCAAACCACATAAACTAGAATTCTCTGTCATATACTAGGACTCTGGTCTCTTTTTCTGCCACATAAAGTACCACATCTGCCACATAAAGTGGAGGTGCCTAACCAGCTTGAGGGATGCATTACATGAAACAGCTGCCTTTTTAGTTATATCCCAGGGACCCCTTCCTTGGGACCAGCTTTCAATACGCTCAAACACTGTTCAGGACAAAAACCCAGAAGGCCCCATTAATACCATCCAACTTCCTGCTTTATAGAATTCCTACAGGTTAGAATCCACTACTACATGCATGAGAGATGGTGATCCAGCCTGAGTTTAAAAACATCCAGCAAAGGAGAACTACAAATTTGGTAAGAGTGGGGTCTGGAAATCTTAGTGAGAGAGATTTTTTGCAATGGCCTGGGGTGAAAGTCTGATAGGTTTAGAGAATCCTTATCAAGTCCAGAATGAAAACTGTACCTACATGAATTGCAGCAGAGACAACACACCGTCCTGGTAGACAAAAAATATAGGAAGCCAGACTCTGAGGATTCTGAGTTTTATGGCTTCAGAACATTATCTTTCCAAAATGTCAATTATCAAGCACATACAATGGAATATTAGCATTTGCTTAGAAATGTGGAAACTTCTTTCTTCCTACACTTCCCAGAAGATATATAAAGCAGTGCAGATCTCCCAAGTGAAGACTGCTGGCATGGCCCACCATGGTGCTGACTGTGCCTTATTTCTTTAGATATAGGTAGACCTCGCTTACCGACTGCCTCATGCAGTGACCATTTGAAGTTACAACAGTGCTGAAAAAATAAGTTTGCAACCAAGGTGCACATTTACGACCTTCACAGCATCTCTCTCTGTCACGTGTTTGCCATTACAATCAGTTAGTACATGTTGTCCTGTGCCTGATCCTTTTTTTTCTCCTTTTTTTCCTCCTCGCAGAGTGGAGAGATTGGAGAGGAAGGGATTACAAGAGAGTAAGCAGGCATGCAATAGGGAATACACTGGGCTGCTTGTGCAGTGCACTCACGGCTCCCAGAGCTGCCAGCACCACTGCACTGCTTTCCATGTGTAGTCCCCACTGTGTGTTTGCTTACTGTCTTTTAATCCGTTCCTCTCCAATGAATATAAACACAAACATTAATTCTCTTCTTGTTAATTATCCCAGAACTAGGGTAAGCATTCCAAAGGGCGAGGGAGTGGGGAAAAAGGAAAGCTGAAGTAAAATCGTAAGCACAGTCATGGTCACGTGATTTTCCACTTAGTGACTGTGTCACTTAGTGACCAAGTTGCCAGTACCAATTGTGGTCATTAAACAAGGATTACTTGTAACTTCTGGAGTTCCAATGTACTCCAAGGCCATGTATTACTTAGATATCTATTTTCATCCGAAAAGGAAATGGGGGTCAAAATATCTTCAACCTTAGAGATGTCAACTGGTACATATTGTGACTGTGACATCTATTCTGCCTTTATTACAGGAGAGGCAATGGCTTGCTTTTGTTGATGTAATGAATGCCTACTTCCATATTTCTGTCATAACCTATCATTGCAAATATTTACAAATTTAGTTGGACTTCAAGGCCTATCCAATTTAGCATTCTTCCCTTCAGCTTGGGCCCTGCCCTGTCAAGCTTCACCCAACAAGTAAGGACTGGAACCTATTAAACAAGCTTACAAGAATCCAAAATTCCTAATAAACAATTGTTATTGAATGAAGTTAGGAAGCCATAAGAAAAGTATTCTAGTGACAGCTATGTTTAGACAGACATACAGATAGACAGATCAAACCCTTTTGTGCCTCCTTTGCATAGCAAGGTTGCTTTCCTTTTATCCCCTTTCTGCAAAGGTTAGATTTGCCATCATGTCATTTTTCACTGACT